CTGCAAGAAAAGTTGTCTGTATTGATTTGTCCTGGGGATGCAGTACTTTGTTAACTCAATCCTGCATATGTAGAATTTTCTCTGTGGCACATGCATATGAGTGCTTTTGCCATAGGATATTTGTCCAGTTGAACGTTAGAACTGTAACTGTGAACAAGACCATTTTCACAGTTTCAGAATTATAAACATGGATGACAGTCTTTATTACCACAAAACTAAACTTTTTAATTGTTCATTATTATCACTATACTTTGTTAATTAATATTGTTTTTATTTTTGATAATTTATTTGTAAAGTATTAATATTTTATGAACTTTTTTTTTTTAAGTACAATTTCTAAGTCACATAAACTGTTCATAAATCTGTTTTTCTCTAAAATTGAAATAAGTATTAAGATTTTGTTCCAAATATTATAAATGGTGTGAAAAGGTGTGCAGATATGTTAATTTCATTTTAAGATAAAATGTTTTAGGATGTGTTGCACCAGCAGTTGCTGAGTCTTCCCTCTTAACCAGTAGGAATTATGCGTTAGCCTTGGAAACTTTTCCTTTTACTTGCAATTTTCACTATAAACTGAGGATAGCAGAGAGAAAATATGTTAAGAGAAGATGTAGGAACAGATTCTTCCAAAAGGAAATATCTACAAAACCGACCAGTGGTAAAACATCTCAGTTCAATAAGGAAAATAGAAGGAAAAGAGACTTGTACAGCTTTACTGAGAGTGAAAATAATGAAATGAATTCATCCACTAGTTCTGAGGTATGTCTAGACTTACACATTCCATGATGTATTCTGATGCTTATGAAAACTATTTAGAATTAGAGTGCACTGACAAAAAAACAATGTTATTTCTGAAGTTTTTTCTTGCTTCTTTTATTAATTACTATTTAAATCTCGTAAGCATAATTTTAATCAATTATTTTATGTTTGATTCAGTAGAACACTGATAGCTTGCCAGAAGTAAATTCCACTATAACAGCTTGTGAGTTTTGCTTAATAAATATCCAAAATGTATTTTGTTATAGTATTTTGGCACTTGTGTATAAAGTTAAAATCATAAATAATATTCAACGTTAAACTGGTACACAATTAAAAAACATTTTATTTAGGCCTATCTATGGCCTTCAAAAAGTTGGCAGCTCTACATGTTTCAACATTACAAGGATGACGTTGTAACGTTGAAACATGTAGAGTCGCCAACTTTTTGAAGGCCATAGATAGGCCTAAATAAAATGTTTTTTAATTGTGTACCAGTTTAACGTTGAATATTATTCATGATTTTAAATGTATTTTGTTATTTGGTTTAAGAGTTTATACTTGGAAATTTCTCATCAGTTCTAATTTAAGAGACAAATCAACAGTTTTCTCCATTTAACTCATTTCAGATGGTTTTTATAAATTAACAATTAATATATATATTTTAGTTAGTAATTTGAAACAGTTTATCTAAATACTATTTCATTTTTTGTTTATTGGTGGAAATGAGATGTCTGTTGAAAAATTGAGTGAATCAAAATCTTCAGTCATCCTTGAACTGTATAACACACAACCATGCTTCCTTATTCACAAGCTACAAGAAATATCTAAAGAAAAAAGTTTTACTTATGTTCTACACCTAGAGTTAATTGTAGAAGCAAAAGCAGAATGGGTTTGGAATTATGTAAAATAGTCTAGTTGCACAAGTTTTATATATCTATTTCTAAAGTTTTTTTTTTTCCATATTATTACCCTTCCAATGTTTGATGTAACTTCTTGTATTTGTTATTGCAAATACCATTACGTGCCAAGTTTCATTGGTAACTGTCATAATAATTATCTATTTAATGCAGTTCCAACATATACTTTTTATGACATTGGTTTGCATTTTGCATTATGTAAATGAGATCATGATTAGATGCAATCTGAACACTTTAAAAAGTAAATCTATTTTCAGAGTAAGACGTTTGCATAATTATTTATTTATTTTTTTAACTCATTATAAATTATAATGTAATATATAAATGTAAATTTTTTTAGAACTTTAATTTTTCAGAGTTTCCAAGCTTTAGCTCCCTCAAAACGTCCTAGAAGGACCCGTGTTCCATTTTCAGAAGACGAGGAAAAGTTCATTGAAGAGGGTGCTGTTAAGCTAAACAAAAACTGGAAGTATATTTTGTGGACTTATGATTTTCATCCTTCTCGTACACCAGTAGATCTCTATGACAAATATAGAAGAATGAAGGTTTTGGTGACCTTTTGATTTTATTAAGTTTTTAAAACTTATTTATTAGTGCCAATTTAATTTGTTTTGTCATACGAGGTAATTATGGGTATAAATAATGCAACAGTGATTATCTGAGGATATCATAAAAGCAGGCTAGATATAAGTTTTTGGTGAAATACTTAAAATATGTTTGTGTGGGGTTAAAACATTTCATTCTCAATGGAATTGACAGTAGAACATGAACCAGAAATATGCTTAGTTTTGCCAAAGAAAGAGTCAAGTAAACAAGAAAGCAGTAGTCAACAGTTTGTAGAAACAATATTTCAGTGGGATACTCGAGAATCAAGAACATAAATGATAGTGAAGAGCAGTGTGGGGATGAGAAGAATGTCAGCTTTATATTTCAAATTCTGGGAACTTTTAGCTATATAATGTGATTAAAGGCATTTTCAATGATTTTCTTTATTCAAACGTATTGTTGAATTTTGGTCGTCAAAAAACTGTGAAAACTAGAAAATGAGCATGCTCTACATAATATTAACTAGGTACTCTTGGATTGTGAACTCTCACACATTCATTCAGTATCTCTTGTATAAAATGCTCCAACAATTAAGTAAAGTTCCAAATGGTGAAATAGATAGAAATAAAAGTATGATTAATTGGTGGTTATTTAGCATTCTTGGATTAACTATTGTAGATGAAAGGGTGAATTATTTACTACTTTCTTTGTTTTTTAAGACAGTCATTAACCATATGTTTATGTACTTTTAATTTATATCTTGTTTTGCCTTTAGTAATAAGGCTATGTTTTATTTCCACATGCAATACATTTTGGTAGCAAAATCTGTTACTCAACATTATTTTTTTTTGTTTTTTGTTGAATTACAGACAGTAATTTTTGGAATTTTCTCCTGAAGTGCCCTGAACTTTGAGCATGTTTTTTTTGCAGGAAAATAGATTTTTATTCAAAAAGATTTTCAACTGATGAATCAGTCTTCTGTGAATTTTAAAAGTATATTTTAATTTACAAGATTAAGGCAAATGATCAGTGCTCTTCATGATCTTATGCATATCATGAATACGTAGAAACCACCTAGTTTTTGTACAACATTGTTCTAGAAAATTTGAGCTTATAATTCATTATCACAACTTTGCTGCATTATTTTATACACTACAGAATTTTTATTTTGTTTCACTCTATAGAAGAAACAGTCCATGTTTAACTAAGAAATAGAAGATGAAGTAGCAAGTAACTCAAAAGTAGGTCATCCTTTGAAAAAGGAGAACTTACCATTGTCCATGTGTGAGCAAAGAAGGTTAAAGCATGGAGTTCACAAGTTTGGCTATAATTGGAAACTCATTCTTTCATCCTACAAGTTCATCCACCAGAGAACAGCCAGTGAGTTACGGGAACGGTGGAGGAAATTGTGTAAGAGAGAAAAAGTAGCTTAAAGTTATCTCTTGTAAACTTTTTCTTACACTTACCTGTACCAATGTAAAAAAAAAAAAGTTTTTCAATTAACGTCTATTTGCCAACTTTGAATTTTATTGACATGAGATTGCATAATTGCTTCAAAAATGAAAAATCAGTTAGTACTGAAACTTTCAAATATTACTTTTATTTAAAGTGAAATCAAATTAATTTATTTTGTTTTTACATAACAAGAGGGTTAATTTCTTGAATTATATTCTTGTTGAATATTTTATAGATTTTTTTTCCACTTCCCTGTGATATACAAGTTTATTTAAATTTAATATTCAATTTTTAAAAAGTCATGTTTACTTGATCTCGAAGAACAATGAAATACATTGATGTGGTAAAAACTTTTACACTATTTAAAACAAAGTATGACTGTAATCATTGGCATTCAATATGTTCTGACACAATAAAGAATAATCCAATTTAAATGGTCATTTTATTTTTTAGATTACTTTGGTTGATTCTAGTATAGTTAGTATTTCATGGGCTTATTGTTGTGGTTAGAGAGTTTTATTTTGATAGTTAGGTGATGCCTTTCAGAAAGGTTTTAACACTCAAAATTCACACTTTTTTATTACCTATTTCAGACAAAACGAGTGGCTAATATTTACCAAAAGTAAGAAAACATTGTAGAAACCTATTAACACTGTTAAAGACCTATTCATTATTATTTTTTTAAAGAGGAGTTGACAGATAGTAACATATTAGCAAAGTATTAATTCTCTTTTGTTTTCATATACTCCAAACATAGTCATCACCTCATTGAAATCAGCAATAAGTAACAAAATTATTAGCAAAATAAGTATACAATGAAACTTGTTAGATCAACTTGAGACACATCTAACAGGTTTTAATGATATACCTGTTTTGTGAAAGGTAATTGGCTAAAATAAAAAATAATTTAAAAATAGTGATGTTATTTCTTATTTTAAGGAATCTGCCTTTTATTTTTTAGAGAAGATTTGTTAAATCCAATCTTTTCTGCTCTATTAAAGCTCTATGATCAGCTAAATCAAGTGCATTTTGATTTGTTAAATAACCTATTAATCTAAAAGTTTACAATGCATATTTAGTTCCACCACTTGTATATTTGCTAACACAAGTTCTAACCACACAGCTAAATGTACGTGTTAAAAATGTTATGTTTTCACGAGTTTCTTAATAAAATCTTTGTTAGTCTTCAACACTCTAGTACAGTGATTCCCAACCTGTGGTCCCCGGGCCCCTGGGGGTCCTCGAAGATAATACCATCTCATTAAACAAGTAAGTTTTTGAATTCTGCTGTTCTTTTAATTGCACACTCAGTTATATATGTCTTTTATTTGATAATGAAAAATGGAAAAACAAGTTAATTATTAGAAAGAAAAACAATTTGTTGGGTAGATGGAATCTTTAAAAAAACATGAGGTTCCTTGGTGGTGAAAAGGTTGGGAACCGCTCGCTGCTCTAGTATATAGTATGATACTCTGTCATTGATATTAAAGGCTACCATCCGCAGGTTTGAGAATATTTTAAAGAGTAATGGGTTATTTTTTTCTTACCTCCACACCACAAGTTCCTTTATTCTAATATTAACACCTTGAACTAATTGATTTAAGTGGCACTATAGACATTTTTGCATAGGAGCAAAATCGGATTTTTTCCTGGAAGGAAATTTTTATCCATGCATTGAAATATGTAATTGCACCTGTTGAATTTTGTTCTGCCATTTTTAAACAATATAATTCAAAAGAATAATGTTTATTAATTAAATAGATCATATTTCAAGTGCCTAAAAATGACCACATTTTAAATATTCCTTTAAGAGTAATGTTGATGAATATAATTCCATGATATTATAGAGCTAAAGTTGTTCATCATAGCATTTTGTGTTGATGGGGAAAAGAAAATTATTTACTTCATTTTTTGTTTGTACTTTATTTTTTTTTGTGTTTAAGAGTTTGGTGACACTGAACTATCAAAGCCCATCATACATGGCTTTTTAAAAATTATTAAACTTATATAATGACCATAATGAAAAAGAAAAGCATTTGGTAGTGTATTTTTAACTGTGAATTAAACCATTTTATACTCCCCATTTCCTCAGCATACATTCTTTTTTTATAAAGAACAAGTGATGGTTTGATTTCACCATTTTCTCTGACTACTTGGCTAACATTTTTTTCACATACTGGTTAATGGAATATGAAAGGAGTTAATAAGACCATATTTTTTGTTTATAAGTTGAATTATTCACAGTGGGAATTTGCAATATGTGAATATATATATTTAGAAGACATATAATTCTTTTTTTTTTACATTTTATTCAATAAAATTTGCATACTAAATTTGAAACTAATATGAATTTTTGGATACCTTTTTTGTATATCATTTGAGTTGTTAATTCACTTTGATGACCTACAAGATGTGATTTTTTTATTATATATATAAATAAGAATTACATGAAAGTAATAAATGTTCGTGAATAACATTAAGATAAAGTTGCTTGCCAGTAAATGTTATCACAAAATTAAATAGAATAGGCAGAGAACATTGTTTCATAAAATGAAAGATAGCTTTATTTGAGCGCGATATCTACAGTCCTGAAGGAAATCAAATTCTGACCTATTGGTGCAAGGAAGAAAACAGTCTCCATTCATCCGATATGTTACACAATGGTCACAACCATCCTCATCACCAGCTTCTTCTCAACTAAACAGGAGGGAAACTGTACCTGGACGGCCATTGAATTACTTCGTTGCTATCTGATAACTATAACTCACAGATAAATATTCTTTTAAAATGTTTATAGAAAGATTCTTTATATCATAATAAAAAAAAATGGGCTTTGTACATAAACAGTCCAGCAACAATGGGTATGAATCAGTATAATAACATCACATAACTTACAATAGCAAGGAAGGATAGAAGGTGATAAGTAAATAAACAACTTAGGCTGGACGCTGGTCAGCTTGAAAACCAATATGTAATTAGACAGAAACCACACCGACCATGTCCGAACGCCAGATGCACCTTCCCCCCTTGCTGTACTTTAAGATTTGGAATGAGTATTTTAAGTTCTAACAAACAACGTCCATATTTTCCAAGCACCGTGGTACCAGATTCTTCTAACAGGTATAAATACAGATAGATAAATCTGTTTACTTATTTACTGCCTCTCCTTTATTAGGTTTGTATGTGAAAAGTAATGGTTCATTTACCAACATTCATTCTTCGAGCAGTAGCAGATCAAATACCCTTCTCAAATCATTTTTTGTGACCCCCATCCAACAGAAATAAGCATGACAAATTTTACTTTTCTCAGTAACTTGGGAGGAGTAAGAGCACTTACAGGGCCACAGAATGGCTTTGGCAGCTGGTCCGTTCTGTCTCTCTAACACCAACTTCATTCATTGTGAAATGCGGGCGGCATCTTGCACATTGTAGAAGAGTAAAGACCAAAAAAATCAACGATTTAATTTTTAAATTTTGCATAACACTCGAAAGAGCTAAGAGTTGGTGGGTGATCAAGGAAGTCTAGATGTACCTCCGTGTCTACTAGAGGAACGGAGATGAATCTAAAAATGGCGCTAAATATCAGGGGCAGCAGATGAAAATCTTAAAATCTATCTAGGAGAGGATAAGTGGTATTGCTAAGATGAAGAATAATACGCCGTATTTAAGCATTAAGTTTGTAGATCATGCAAAACTTTTAAAGATATTGGTGTCCAATTCAAGAATTTATACGTTTCACCCGCATAAATTATTGGAAGTTTTTTTTGTTTTTTTTTCTCTCTCTTTTTAACTGATGCTTAAAGCTGTTTCATAGCTAGGAGAAGAAAATTACTACATGGCATAATAGGGTTATACGCTAAATTGATCTGCAATATATTTTTACAAAGGGTGTTTTTAAAAAAATGTTTTTTGGCATATGAAAATGTATTCGTACAAAATCAGAAAATTCCTAGAAGCTATCTTAACGGCTGGATTACTCCTTGCGGAGAAAACTGAAATAACTGAGCGAAAATAGGCAGTCAACTGCGACACCTTGATGACCTGAGACTTGGCGGGTAACTGGCTCAGTGTTGGCAAGTTTATCACGATTTCAGGAAGAACCAATATGGTTTCTACCCAGAAGCTAGGACTATTAGTTAAGGATTTATACTTTGTTTACAAAGACGCATGTAGAAATTATTTAAAATTATTCAACTTAAATACGTTCATTTTTAGAAAATAATTATTTTTACGAAATTTTACTAAGTGCCCTAAAAATAAACTGGTTCCACGCTGTTTAAACAGATATTTAATATATGCAATATTTAAGATAGATATACCTTTTAATTTCATGTCATTTTTTTCATATCAAATCAAACAACATATACTAAATATATACTACCATCTATGACAAAAAATATATTGCACATAACCTTTCGTAATGAAATTGTGATGTTACCATACAACATATTTATAAATATGTATTAACACAAAGCTTACAGGAAAAATACATTTTATAAAATTGACATCAAATATATTAGTTTATTTTTATGTGATTAGAAACGTATTATATAATAAAAGGAACATTCGAACTTTGGAATACAACAATAAACTTTAAAATAAATATACTTAGAAAAAATGGTAAAGCATGCGGGAAAATGTATTGGAATATAATAATATACTTGAAACATAATAATAATAAATATATATATATAAATAATAGCGATTAATTGTAATTTTATTTAATGCACAAGTTTTCTGTAATAAGTTCAATAGCCATCTTAAGGTGTTTCTGTCTATTGAGAAGACAGAAACGCGTGAAAGGATTACTTTGTGACCAAAAATGTATGAATTTAATAACTAATGAAAAGAACAACTTGGAGAAAAACTTACTTTTTGAGTTACCATATACAATTATCATCCATGTTATGAGCCAACATCTATACTTTAAAAATACTATTGTTAAAAACGTAATAATATGATTTTAGAAATTAATATAACACTTAGAAGCGTGTTCTTGAAACGACGAAAACCACAAAATGAATATAATTAAAACATTTCTTACCTTGTTTAGAAGGAGAGCGGTACTTGTCCTCTGTTATGAGAATTTGTCTAAGTAAGGCTAAGCTGTGGTTTAACATTGTTGCATATATAAAGTAATAGATGAATAGATACAATAGTGTTATTTAACAATCGAATGGTCAAAAGTAAGGAGATATTACTTGACCTAGGATTTCTATAAAATCTTTGCTGTAGTGGGATGACCATGTAATAATACAAAAAAAAAGTTAAAATCACTACATTAAAAATAAAGTATAAAAGGCCATTTGATCAGTTTGGTTGATGTACTATTCTTTCTATTTTAACATTCTTAATCAATTTTTTGTATCAACTCTTGTTGTTTTACAGCTCTCCAGTGGCTTAGCGGCAAGTCTGAAGGCTTATAACGTTAAAAATCGGGTTTCGATACCCATGGTTGGGCACAGCACAGATAACCCCTTATGTAACTTTGCACTTAGTAACAAACAAACTCGTTTAATACGTATGGGTTTTTTTAGTACTTTTAAATTACCATACAGTAACAAATTCATTTAGGTGTGTGAATAATGTTAGAGCATTGCACCAAATTCATTACTGGATATACAGCGGAAGAACTGGTTAATGTGTGAATGTGTTACAGAATTGTTTTCTTTTTCACCGAAGGTAAAACTGAAAAGAGAATTTATGACGTAAAAACCTCGTTTTACTAATTTTGGATGATGAAAATTGTGATTAAGAACTTAATCGGTTCTCAGTTGTATGTTTCTATGTGGAACAAAAAATAAATAAACATGCATATTTTTAAACGGATATTAGTGAATAATAGGCCAGTGCAACTTACTGTCATAAAAATACATTTTAGAGAAACTGGTTGAATGTTGCCAACCTTTTTATATCTATAAAACAGCACATCCAAATACGCAGTTGTGGTGTATAAACACATTTAAAATAAATTCCAAAACGTGTAATAACGACAGTGTGCATCTGCCAGTAACTTTTAGTACTATACTCTTCTGTACTTTGAGCCTTATAGTATATTTACAATATTAATGCCGTGTTTTCAAATAACTTTTTTACCATATTTTATCTAACTTTAGAACATGATGAAAAAGTTATCAAAATAGCGTAGGTTCCAAGCCAACACATGCTCCACAACAAGTTTTTACAAGACGACCTACATAGTACACGCGTTCTCCAAAAAAACATTCCTTAAAAAATAAAGGAATTGATTTTTTTTATTTGAGGTGAAGTACAAAGCAACACAATGGACTAACTGTGTTCTGCCCACCACGGGTATCGAAACCCGAATTCTA